CCGTGGCGTTGTTTTGCCTTGTCTGCATTGGGTTGAATTGAAGCCTGTATGCCTGGCTCTGAAACGACACTAAAAAAAATTCCATTTTCCCAGAGAGATCCTGTCACTGCTACTTGTTTTACAGAGTATCTAACCTTGTGGTACATGTAAACAGGTGTTTACTAAATTATTTTAATACTGACAGGCATGACTCGGAGTGCTGTTTCATTATCAGAATGTTTAGCACTTATGTTACTAAGTATTTAGCACTTGATATTTGCAATACAATTCCCCATGCTTTTGTTAAAAATCAATCTTTGACTATCCTCCACCACAGTGCCCAATATTAACCTAGGCAACAGTGAGGACCCAATCAAGAAAGAGAATAAATGAGCGTGATTATTTTGCTAATCAGTCTTGTCACTAAGTCCCCAGATGTCTCCCAAACAGGCTATGGAGTTTCTCTAATCCATCCTGGAAAAGAGAATCAACTCCTGCATTTGGATGCTGAGCAATGATCTCCAAGACCCTACAAGAAAGAAGTAGCACAAGGCCAGCTGACCTGTCACTCCAGTACCGCCAGCAGCTACAACATCAGGCAGGATGACTGTAAAAGGAAGAAAGCACAGCCAACCACTCATCCCTTCCTAACTGGGCAGCCAGGGCTCTTCAGCCCTCATAGAACTTGCCACAACTCAGAACACCAGGGGAAAACAGGATAGAAAAGAGAATGGAAGGGGTTGAAAAAAATCACTGACAACTAGAAAAAAAATCTCAGTGACTCCCTAAACTAGGTCTCTAGAGCTTTTTTGCCATTACCCAGCAGGAGACCCAGGCAGACTCAAAAACCGAAATCATCTGTGAGGTGCACTCAGTTATTTTTGTGGGTTCCCCCCGCCAGTAAAGTTAGGGAAATGTCACATTGCCTTTGAGCTGACGAACTTTGTAACCCCACAGGTTAGCATTTCTAGAGCCCAAATTTATGGCTGCATGAGGCTCACGAGGCATGGGAACCAGTAGGCTTTCTAGTTTTTGAACCACTGGTGGTAAATCAGGGAGAAAATCAGTATGTGGCCATGACAAGTTCAGCTAATCGCACAAAAGGCTCCCTCAAGGATTGATGGGCAGGATCCTGTCAGTGCTCAAGGTAAACAGAAGTCTGAGGTAAGATACGCAAGAGAGTAAGAGAAAACCAAAGTAAGTTTTTATGACCACAGGGTGGAAAGTCACAGAGGGACTGGGTACCACCCGAAGTCTGTGAGACCCTGGGGTGTGTGTAGTGCCATGGAGACACACTGGTCTTTCCGATCCTCTATTCCTAGGTAGGTGCGGGCATGGTGAAAGAGGCACTGCTCAGTCAGGAAACTCCCCAAGTTCCCCGTTCCATCTCTCCTCACCTAATTGGCCCTGGAACCCCAGTCCTGACTCCTAAGCCCTGTAGCGCCACCTACTGGAAGAGGCAGAAGCCACATCTGCTGTAAGTCTGACATCTGCCTTCATTCCTTCAGGAAGGTATTCGTTCAGTCATGCACCCATCCCCTGCAATGAGTGGGGCCTGTGCTAGGAAGTAGGGACCCAAAGATCAGCAAAGCCCCCAAATCTTCACTTAATACACTCCTCCGACCCCTAAGGTAGGTCTTATTCACAGAAAACTCATTTCGGGCAGTTTGAAGTGGAAGACAAAATTGAAGGTGCACTAAGTCATCATCAAGACTCTAAGAGATGTCTCTGGGGGCTAGTGGTTCACCACTGCATCTGCAAAGTATATCTGCAGTGGCTCCCTGTCCAGACCAACTCCACTCTTTATCTGAGGCAAAAATGTTCAAAGCATTCTAGGAGACTACACTATTAATATTCCCCTCTGCAGTACTTCAGGTTAGGGAGGTACATTAGGTTCTGTGTAATCTATTTTAAATGGCTATTTCTTATTGTACGTGTGCGTATGCGCGCGTGTGCACGTGTGCACATGTAAATACCATTAGCATGTATTCTACATACTGAATAAAATAATTCTTTTACTATGTTCCATTATGTCATAATCTGATACCAAAGCAATACAAGGAACTTGAACTCTGATGGCCCTTTCTCTCCAGTTTCCCCCATACAGCATCCCCAGAAAGAGAAGCTAATATCAAGCTTTCTTTAATCTGCACAAGCTGAGGGGCAAGCAACACTGTTCTTTGACCATCTGTAAAGAGAGTTAACTGTGATCATTATTGTTATTATTTTATGATGATGATGATTATTCTGCTGTATGGGCAGGTAGATAAAAGAAAAGCACAGTGTGTCTTCCACTCCCAGAACACACGTTCCTCCCCTTTGCCTTGTCTCCAGTAGATAAGGGACATTCTGATGTTTTATTTGTTAAATGGTTGACTATTAAGAAACTCATTTGCTAGCTGGAGCCTGCAATGGGAAATGATCCCAGAAAAGTGGGAGGCTGGCATGAAATCAGAGGAGATAGGGCTCCTGAAACCCTAGGTCAGAAGTCAGTCCTTCGTGAACTTCCAGGTTGCTCCAAGGTGCCGACCTCTGACCTCTATGGCCTGCCCCTCAATCCACACACACCACCGAAAAGCTGGGGAGGAGGATTGTTGTGAATTCACTTCTTTCAAGGGTATCTTGAAGAGAAGGAAGCACAGCCTCAGCCACTTGGCCACTTTGTTGGTTCTCTACTCTGGCTCATCACCAACCCTGATCAGAGGTAATCATCTGGCTCTTCTCTCTATCTCCTGAAACTCTAAGCCCCAATTAGGTTTTGTCATCCCATGAGTTATTAAGCCAACCACCTCTGCCTTGTAAATATTCACGTTCTCCCAGGTCTGTCCTCCCCACCTCCACCACCTTCCCCCATGCCCCCCAAAAAGAAACCTGGGCAATACCAACCAATCAAGGAAGAGGAAGAGAAAGCAGAGGGCTGATGAGGATCCTGATGCTCTCTCACCTGAGAACCACATCTAGGAATGGAGGCAAAATTGCTCCTGTGAATTATATAACCACCGCAGCTTCCAGGGAGAGAAGAGAAATTCAGGTTGCTACAGTGTTTGCTGGCACGCTGCTGGAAAGGTAGAGCTCTCGGCCACCCTCACATTCTCCCTTCCACTCCACCTTTCTCAGCAACCTCCGGGCTTGGCGCTCCCACTTTTAGAGCCTGCTTCCTGCATGGGTGGGTTGGGGAAAGTGATGCTGAGGAGCAAAGGGCCAAAAGAAAAGAATGAGAGTGAGGAAACAGGCTAAGGAGGTGTTCGTCCTGCAGTAGGAGACTTTGTGAACTAGTTAAGGTGATTACTATAGGAATAACAACCATCATTACCGTGGTATACTGCTGCTGGCAGTAACAGCTGGGACAATACTACTGAGCTCTCCTCTCCAAGGCTGCTCACACTGAGGAGGTGGCAGAATCTGGAGTGGAGTAATCTATTCCCACTCTTCAAAAATATCACCCTTTCTTTTCTGTCTCATTCCCTCACTCCTAATCCATCCAGGGCTCAATTGGCCAGCAAAGGGATAAGGGATAGAAGAGGAATGGGGGTACAGAGTAGAGAAGACCAGGGATAAGAGCTGCTCTTGTGGCCCCAAAGCCTTGGCCAACCCTAGGACCTATGCCCCTTTACAAGAGTCTTTCTTCCCAAGAAGGCCGAAATCCCCTTCTTGCCATCCAAACTGGGAAAGCAGAGAGACCGCTGGCCCCCAAATTGGCTTCAGGACTGAGGGAGACCGAGTAGACAAGCTGGCAGCAGCCTCCAGCTCAAAAGGGCAATGAATGGCCTTGTTCCCAAATGGTGGAGGCAGGGGGAAAAGGAAGAAAGAGGCTGGACAAAAGGGACCTGGCTACTACTCCTTCCACTTGGCTGGTCTTCGGAAGATCACTTGGAGGTGCCAGAGAAGGAACAGAGACCAACAGCGACAGGCATGGGGGGTGGGGGTGGGGGGTGGATAGAGGCTGGAGAGCAGGAGAGAAAAGGGACAGACTACACCCAAAAGGACAGAGCTGAGGAGAGAAGAAAGAGGCAGCTGGAGGGCAGAGGGCTCCACGGGACTACCCTGTCTATACCCCATCATACCCTGAAGCAATGTGAAAAATAATAGCTTGTCAACCTGGGGGAGGGCGCGATGAGGGAGAAAGTTTCCAGAAAGTGGGGAGTTACCTAAATGCCTTTCGCCATCACAGAGGAAGCTGTGACCCTTGATGCCCAGGATGGAGATGCACAGAAAGCACTGGGCAAAATAGTATGGAACCCACTGAACTAGTCACACCCTTTCATTATTTCCTTAAAACAAGAAAAAGCAAAGCCCACACACCGCCCGGATTCTAACTGCTCACAGCCTCAGGTGCTAGCCCACGTCGGGGTGCGAATCGGAACACAGGAGGCGTGGGCACATTCGGGGTCAACTGCAGTGGAGAGAAGGGTGGGTGTAGGTGTGCAGAAGAGGAGAGAAGGAGGGGGAGATGGAGGGAGAAGAGAGAGGGAGAGGAGGAGGTGCCAGGAGACACATCTGCATCCCCCGCCCCCACTCGCCACCTGGAGCGCTGTGCCCAGGGAAGGGCCGCCTGCAAGAGTGAACGTCGGCTGTCCGAAGGGTCCGGGGACCTGATGCGCGGTGCGCGCGCTCTCCGCGCGCCCGGAGCAGCGCGAGGGACCCCTACCCGCGGGGTCGCGGGGCTCCACGGCGCCGGTGTCCCCTCCCCCCAGCGCGGCTGGCCGGGCAGTGGAGCTCTCCAGGCAAACGCGAGAAAGCGAGGCAGCAGCAGACACTTGGGGAACTTTTCCCCCCTCGCCTGGAATTCCATAGGAAACGAGAAGCCGAGGCCGGAGAGGGGGAGGGGCGGGAATTTTCCGCTCCGTCTCGAGGTTCGGGGCCGGGTCCCGCGCGCTCGGGCGCGGCGGAGGCGACCCTCGCGGAGGCAGCTCCGGGCCACTCCGCAGGGACCGGCCCCGGGGCCGCGGGAGGCGCGAGGGGAGAGCTGCCCGGGGTGGAGAAGGCGGGGAGTCGGGGCAGGCGGCAGGGTCCAGCCTTACCTTGGTGGTTTTCCTCTGGAATGTACATCCTCGTATTTTCATTGACCATTGACCAAAAATTGTTTGAAAGGGAGAAGAAGCCACAAAGAGGAAGAAATGTAAAAACACCCCCAAGTGGGTCTGGATTAATCCCTCCTCCGAGGTCGGCTGCTCTCGTGCAAAATTCAGGGAAGCCGTGGATCCGCAGTATTTCTTCTTCCCTCCTGATGATTACCTGATTCCCATTATTGCATCAAACACCAAAAACTGCTCCTTTCCACTAATGCCTCCTTTAGTAAGATTGTAATGCATCTTCAGTACATCCGGGCCCCTTCCAAGAATTTAGCACCGCACCTCTGGCGGCTACACCATTTGAAAAAAATAAATCGAGAGAGGCAGGAGCGAGGAGAAGCAGAAAGGAGGGGCGAGGGACGCGATGGACCCCAAGACGCGGGGCGCGGGGGTGCGCTCGGGCCACCAGGGGGCTGAGACGTCTCTGCCCACTCTTGGAGAGTCCTCCCGGAGGCCCCCGGCCGGCTTTCAGCTGTCAGAAAGAGCCACCAACTCCTGAGGGCGAGGAGGCAGGAAGAGCCGTCGCCGCCGCCGCTCCGGGCCGCGCCGCGCCGAGCGCCGTTCTGGCAGGGAGCTGTTTCTGCAGAGGCAGAGAGAGGGAGACACCGGGCGCGCGAGAGCGCCGCGCTCACTCCCTCCCAGCCCAGCCCGCCGCGCCCGCGCCCTCCCCTGCCCGCGCCGCCGCCCGCCCGCCCGGCTCGCTGGAGGCAGACGCGCTGAACGCTTCCAGATGTGGCGGCGGCGCGCAGGCAGCGGGCGCAAGGCTCGGGGCGCACGGCGCGGACTTGAGCCCGAAGTTGAGCATCCGCGGCCGGGCTGCCTGAGGAAGCCTTCTGCCCACGTGACGTCGAGGGGCGCGAGCCCAGGCCGCGGGCCGCGAGAGGGTCCACGCGGGAGCTCCCGGGAGGCCGAGCGCGCGGGGCACCGGGGCGCCGGCCGCCGGGCCCGCGGCGCGAACACACCCACCGCGCCCCGCCGCTGGCGTCGCGCACCCTCCGCGCGCGCGGCCTGCAGCCCTCCGCCCTGGTTATCCTCTGCGGCCGCGGCGCATCCCTGCGGGCCGTCACGCCGGGAAGGCCTCTGTGAGCGGAATTCCAAGAAGAGGGGATACAATTTGCACAACTACCAGTATCTTCATATCGGGCCACTGAACAAAACGGCAAAATGAGTCGTGATTCCGTGATTCTGTTTGATCAATTATAATCAGAGCGGTTGTAGAAGTGACACGCAGAGGCGAGGGTGGGAAGAGGGGAGGGGGGCAGCGAAGGAGCTGGGGAGGCGGAGCCTCGTGGGTACGGCTGTGGTGCCCAGATGTCTGCACAGATTAATAGACCCAGGATTTCTGATTCCTTGGAGGCAGCCGAGCACGTGTTCTGCTAGAATATCTCTACCTACTTCTAATTATTTCTGCCACTCTGGCAGGAATCTGTGGAGCACCTCTCCCTCCTGGAGAAGCAGACACCTCCCCATCAATGCAGCCACAGCAAGTTCCAGGGCACCCCCTGCAGGCCCGGCTCCACTGGCTGGGGCTTGGTGAGCCCTTTGCCCCGCGTTGGGAAGGGGAGGCTGCAGTTACCTCTCCGGGAAGACCTCTCCTGCCTGCCCTTTTGCCCTCCTAGCCTCCCCACCCGCTCTCAGTCCGTGGCTGCTCCTATCCATTCCCATGGCTGTAAGCAACTGTCTATACGTGTCTGTTTCTAGTATAGGCCTTTCTTCTGAATTCCAAACTCAGGCCAACCTGACTCCTCCACTTCTGTGTAATAGTCGTCTCAAAACTGATGTCTCCAAACCAGCCTTCCCCATCTCAGCTAATGACAACTCCCATCCTCCTAGTTGCTGAGGTCAAAAACCTGGGTCATTCTTGACTCTATTCTCATCATCCTGCATCTAGTCCATCAGGAAATCTTGTTGGCCCTACTTTCATATAAATCCAAAGTTGAACCTCTTCTCAGTTATGGCACTGCTCCCACGTAGGTCTGAAGCCAACATCCTACACATAGGTTTCTGCAGCAGCTAATCTCCCTGGTCTACCCTCTCCTTCCCTCCTTGGGTGTATCTCCATCCCTGCTGAGTCTCCCTTGTGTAGACTCAAGTCTTGAGGTATATCTAAGACTGCTGCTGGTCAGAGAAGACTATTTAAAATGGCACATAGCCAGGCCAGGGATTTAGCTCAGTGGCAACGCGCCTGTCTTGCAAGCTCAAGGTCCTGAGTTTGATCCCCCATACTGAAAAAAAAAAAAAAAGGCACATAACCATACTTCTCTGCTCAAAAGTGTCCAGTGAGTCCTCATTTCACTCTGTAAAGCCAAGGTCCTCACAGTGACCTATGTACAACTTCTTTTACATCATCCACTGCCTGCCTCTTGCTGCAGACACACTGGCCTTGTTGATGTTCCCTAAACACTCCAGGTCCTGTCTCCTCCCTTATACACACACAGGGCGGGTGCACCCTGAATGCTCCTTCCCAGACATCCACTTGGTGAACTCCTGTGCCACCCTGGAGCCGCTATTTAGACCTCACCTTCCCAGTAAGACCCATCCTGACGTCACCCTCAGTTGGTACTATGACCTGCCCATCCCCCACCAGTGCTCACAGTCTCTCCTTACTCTACTCTTTGCATGATATTTAATCCCTGGCTAACATACTATGTAGTTTACCATTTATTTTATTGCTTTGTCTGTATCCCCTATGAGAATGTAAACTACATGATGTCAGAGGTCTTGTCCATTTTGTTCACTGCTACACACAGCGATGTCTGGCAGAAAGTAAATACAGAATGAATATGTGTTGAATGAATGCATGAGTCAGAGATGCTTTCAGGAGTGTTTTCACTGTGTCTTATCAAAACACCTCCTTCTGTCCCCTGATCAATACCTGAAACCGCACCACTCCCACCTCATTCCCTTGTGCAGTGGTTTTGGCCCCAGTTTAAAATGCAAGTGCCCCTGGGAGAGATATTAAGCATTATCAGTCACCATTCTCACGTGAAGAACAGTCTAGACTTTGTTGACTACATGAGAAAACTTCCCTCTGCCATTCTGGTGTCTTCATGGTCAACTTTCCACTTCTCAGAAAATTAGAAATGACAAAAATTCAAAGATGAATTATAGGCCTGTGTTTCAGAGGCCAGTGTAGCTGATTGTTTGTTTAAACCAACAGTAAAATTGTTTGCATCCCCTTTTATACTGTATTACAGGAATAATAATGATAGATGACATTATCAAGTATTCTGTGCCACTAAGACGTGTGTTTTATGGGTGCTATCTCATTTAATCCTCACTGCAACCCTATAAGATAGGTATTATTATTATCCCCATCTTACAGATGTGGAAACTAAGAGATTTAAGTGTTACGTCCTAGGTCACTCCACTGGTAAAATGTTCAGCCAGATTTATCCCAGCAATATCTGACACCAAACTCCTGTTCCTAGCATTACCAGCTGTCTCTTTTGAGGGGGTGACTGAGGGCGAGCTGGCAGGAGTGGGCTTGTGGAGATGGATAGTGTATAATGACTGAAATGATTGCAGAAATGGGCTTCACCAAAGCCTAGTAAATGAGAACAGAATGTATGTGTGTTAGGGGGTCAGAGGCTGGATTTATAGCCTGGCTTTCCTAAAGGTAGGCACTGTATAAAATCTAGCAAGTAAATATTACCTTCATGCTTCTTTAGTTTCATTTTTCACTTCTCTTTTCAGCTGTGAAATGTGCTCTTTCCTTTCCAGAAAAAGGTATTTCATAAATATTTGGTCTTACAATGTACACCCATATCCTTGCTTCTAACTTTGGAACTCAGCCCTGTGTGTTCTCTTTCAAGGTAACAAATTCTCAATGTGCCAAATGGAGACCATTTGGAATTCTGACTTGGGTATTTGGAAGGTGGTGGGAGTCTGTCTTTCTCTTTTGTTGAAGGCTTTGATTCCCCTGATGATGGTCACTTTTGTCTACCTCCCTCCCTTCCTTCCTTCCTTCCTTCCTTCCTTCCTTCCTTCCTTCTTTCCTTCCTTCCTTCCTTCTTGCTTTCTTTCTTGTGACAGGATCTCATTAAGTTGCCCATATTGGGCTGGAACTTGCAATCCTCCTGGCTCAGCTTGCTTAAATTGTGGGATTACAGGCATGAGCCATGTGCTCAGTTTTTTGCCACTCTTTCTCTACAATACTGTACTTGTATATGCATGTGCTTCCCCCCACCGCTGCTATACTTTAAATGTCTTAAGGAAGAAAACTATGTTCACTCCTCTTTGTGTCTAACATTATGCTTTGTACATATGGATATTCAGTGTCTATTCAGTGCCTGATTTACTCCAGAAAAGATTTCTTATTGTGACCACAAATATTTCCTTTGGAAGCAATTAAGAGTGTGCTGAATTTTGTTAATTACTGTGTATTTTTAAGTTTGAAAAAACTTGGAAACCAAACACTCAACAAAAATGTTGGCTAAATAATAACTCTGAGAAATTATTCCAAGTGCCTCACACATAAGAAGTCATTTCTCCTCAGAATGACCCTGTGGAAGTGTTACTATTATCCCCATTTTACAGGTGAGGAAACTAAAGCACAGAAAGATTTATTCACCTACCCATGTTTTCACAGCCAGTAAATGTTGAAAGACCTGGGATTTGAACCCCAGCAGCCTCTCTGCAGAGTTTATGCTTTGCCACTAGATAGTTAAACTGGGGTGCATTCATACAAAGAAATCCAACCCAGGTGTAAATAATATTAAGGAGGAATATTAGTGGCATGCAAAAAGACTATACCAGACTCAGGAGCATCTCAAGTTCGAGACCAGCCTGGGCAACTTAGTGACTTAGAACTATCTCAAAATAAAAAGGGCTAGAGGTATAGCTCAGTACAAAGGTTTTGGGCTCGATCTCCAGTGCCACCAAAAAAGGAAGAGAGAAAGAAAGGAAAGAAGGAAGACCAAAAGAAAAAGACTACACCAAAAAAAGAGGTAGAAAATACCTCTTTTTAATTTTTCTTAAAGATGGATGTGTACTTGGACTAAGGAAAAGACTACAAAGGGTCACACCAGAATGGTGACAGTAGCTTCCTCTAAGAAATAGGGTTAGCGGCACTGCTCTAACCCTTTACCGCTGCCTAGGGCCCCTTAGGACCACAGTCCTGTCAAAGAGAATTTCCACCTCCATTTTACAGGTTTATAATCATAACTAAGATTCACTTTCTTGCCCAAAATTGTTTGGCCAATAAATGACAGGACTGGGGACTTGAAAGCAGGTCTATACTAATCCAGAGGCTGTGCACAGCCCACTGCTGTACAAGACATTTTAGGCCCTACAAGTGAAAGGAAGAGAAAGACCTCAAGAAAAGTCCCTCATACCACAGTTCATAGACTGAACAGGGTGCTATTCTTATTCTTTTGCAAGACCCACTGTAATGCCAGTGCCCTCACAATCCACATCTATGTTTAAGAAACCCTGCTGGCCAAGTTCTCTCTTACATCTAAATCTTGCCTTCTGGTCCCTTTCTCTAGAAACCATAGAACAGACTAGATCCTGCCAACCCAGTAGCTGCCTTTATATATTGCATTTAAGGAAAATTCTCCTTGCAACTCAGCCCCAATTTCAGTTCCAAAGGGAAGCCAGAGTGTTTGGATGTG